TTTTATTTAACACGTCACTTAAGTGTGCATTCAAGCTAACTATGACCAATTGAATACTCTATCTAATGCAAACATTAAAACAGCTTCAATAGAAACAACTTCATTATACAATTATAAAAAAGTGTTCTTATCGAAACGTTTTTTTTTATCCAATGAAAACAAAATTAATTATCTAATGCATATAGATAATTAGTTACAATTGATGTGGTTTCGAATTTCAAAATCGACCAATCAATTAAATAAAACTGAATATTATTAATTTTTGTATGTTATATAAACTTATAAAAAAACTAACCAAAAAAACTTAAAATATATATATTTATATAAATATATATAAAGATTTGGTTGATTTATTCAATTATAAATTTTTTAAAAAATTATTCCAAAATAATTTTATTAATGACAACTTCTATTTAATTATTTTTTAATAATTGTTTTTTGGGTCTCTTTAATTTTATCTATAAACAACGTGGGTTTAGATTTCGTTTTGTACGCTGGCAATTAATTTTGTGGTAAAAATGAACATCGTTTTTTCTATTTTATAGACTAGTAAAGTTCACGTGCAACGCACGTGGTAGTGAATATTTTTAGATGTTAAATTTAGTAATTAACTAAATTAATTAATTTATTAAACATATCATTGTAGAAACGAAATATAATATAAAACAAATGAGTTTCTACTGTTTTTGTAAATAACATAATGATGTCGTAATATAAAAAGAATGAAACAACATATTATAACCCCGACAAAAATATAGTCCCTAATGAAAAAAAAACACAAAATAACTAAATAATGACCTAATGTATATTATAGATGCATTAGTTATTTATTTTAATTATGCTAGATAATTAAAGAGTGGTTTTTTTTTTATTTTAGTTTTGACATATTTTCATAAGAAACATTCATACTCGTTGGAGCACAATACATAAATACTATTATAAAATTCTTCTTAATTCATTTGGAAAAACGTATGTTTTATTCAAACACTTGTAAATACATTTTGTCAAACAGTCAAACTTTATGATTGTATGATCTTTATAAAGTATTTCTACCAACAGTTCATGAATATCTTTGTAAAATAATCAACAGTATCATTTAATTGTTGATATTTTTTATATTGTATAATCTACTACATTACTATGTACATATAGACAAATTGGTACTTTCCCCATGGAGACATTGTCCCACACGGGATGGAAATGAATTCCATCTCCAAATAAAAGTTAATTTTTCAAAATCTTGGTTACATGTACTTCTAACGCTAAATTACTTTTTGAAATCATTACATTACATGAAAGTACGTACTGTAAAGTAATTGCACATATGTTTTAGTAAAATACACAATGAGGTTGTAAATATTTCTATAAAAAGCGGACAATTTCATTCAAACATTCAAGAATGTTTTGATCATTCTTCGACATTTTTTTTCAATGTTATTTATTTGGAAGACAAACGAACTATATTATCTATTGTTTGCAAAACATTGATCATCTTGGTTGTTGCAATGATTTTAGCATTGTTTACCATAATATCTTTCACATTCGTTCCAATTTGCAGTACATATGTGCCTAATATTTTTTAATGCTTTTATTGTCCAACTTTTTTGCATCATACATAATACTTCGAAAAATAAAAAATGAATATCATTTCTTGGACGAAAAAGAAACAAACAAAAA